AAAGTAGATAAGAGCATTTGCAAGAGAGAAACTTTATCTAATAATCATCACTGTGATAGACTAATAATATTTGAAAGATTCCAAAACTTGCAGTGAAGCCGACTTTATTTGTCATATGCTTTTCTTTTCGCCTTTGTGTACTAAGAGAATTTTTTCGTTGTGTGTAATGAGTGTTCAACCAGTCCCAAAATGGAATCGTCAAGTGGTGACAGACACGGCCAGACATTATCCCAATGCTTCTGTTATTTGATGGTCTGTCATAAAGTTGATGGACTACGACATTAATTTTAGTGTGTCTGGAATAACGGTTTCTGAGTTGCAATGTTCATTTACTCTAACAATGAACATTGCAACCCAGACATACAACATTGCAATCCCAGATGGTTATCTGCAGGGGCGCAGCTAGCTGTTTGAACGCCCGTGTGCAATACCGATTATGCCGCCCCCTGTTTAACTACGACTACCAACGCTGAGCTTGCCAGTAAGGCTCTTTAGTGTTGGCTCATAAGGGTGTGAAAAAAGAAAAGAAATACTTTATAAAGAAAAACTATTTATTGTAAAAATGTAAGTAATATTCTTAGTGCTCTTGCTGTGTTAGGAAATGTTGATATTAAGTCATTAGTAAAAAGATATTGTAATAGGGTTTGAGGATCATTAAACTGGTTTTCTGGAAAATGCAACTTTAAAGTACAGATTTCAATCATACAAATCAATACCGCCAATGTCTGTTTCACTACTCGAATCGTCTTTATGCTTCAGATTTAAATGCTAATCAAGTTAAAATATGATTAATTATACTTAGACCCATGTCAGAAAAATTATTAACAAAATAATTGCAATTTGATATGCGATAGAACAAGTACAAATTGAGAAGGAAGCTCTGTGGAGATTCCCTATTATCGCCAGTCCTATCAACTTCTGTCATAGAGCACGACAATGGGTACTTGGCTTCCGGGCGCCGCCGGATGCTTCAACCTGCCGACAGACGTTTCGCATTGCATCTTAATTCTGATAAATACAAATAGAGCCGCTTTAACGTTATAATAAAAATAAGAATATAATAATTGCGCGCCGGTCAGAATTTTTTTCTCCATGCGAAGACATTTCTTATGCTATAAGGAGGGTGGGTATTATGACAATGACTTTGAATATTACGTAACCGATCACTCGATTTGCCGCCCCCTGGACGTGCAGCCCGCGTGCGGTGCACGCCTTGCACGCCCGCTTACGGCGGGCCTGGTTATCTGAACTTGCAGCATAACTAAAGTTCAGAAGAAGAGAGACACATATAGTACTAAAAATATTTATAAATAATGAATTTTTTAATATTATTTGTACATAAAACAATAACAAGTTATTTTTATAACAAGTTTTATAACAAATTCAATGTGTCTCAATGAAGTCGATTGACAAATTGAACGTATTCAGTTTAGATAAATATCATTTGGAATTGTGGATGTATTAAAAGTAAGCATGTTCATGGCGTTCACATTCAATGTTCTCGCATAACTAATGTGTACTTAAAAATCGTTTCAGGTTATTTCATTCATGAAAAGAATTAAATAGAGAATACATTGGATTCCGTTATTTTGGAACAGGGGCGTGCCGTGACATTTGACGATAGGGAAGCTGTGTTTCTGTAAGAAGACGACATCCAGGGGCAATCAGTCAATCGCGCGTCAGTGATGGTCTAGGGTCCATTCGTATCGTTTATTCGATAAGCCAGTAAAAACCGCAGACTTCTCTAAATGCATTTTTAATATCACAATTACATTCCGAATCGCTAGCCACGATATAAGGGCTACAATTAAAAATAAAATAATAAAAACTTACTT